GGGTGGGGGTGGGGGAGGGGTGCTTCAGCCGGCCTATAGCAGTCCCAAATGTCTGCCCAGCAGGGTGGCCAGGAATCTGCAGCAGTCAGGTCAGCTTAGTGTACGTTTTTAGGTCTACAGAAATTTAGGTTGGTGAAAGACCTGGGGTTGGATTTGGGGTTCCGGATGGCCCAGCGGGAAAGTGGGGAATAAGGTATTAGCAGTGTAACCTCAGGGGGCTTAGGGAACCACGCAGAGCCTCGGTGTCCTCTTTTTAGTTTGTAAAATTTATTATTATTATTATTAATTATTGGTACCGGGTATAGAACTCAGGACCTGAGCCATTGAGCTATGTGCCTTGTTCTTTTTAAAGAAAAGGGTGATATTGAGGCAGGGCGTGGTGGCACAGGCCTGTAATCCCAGCTCTTGGGAGGCTGTAAACAGGCGGATCACTATGAGTTCAATCTAGTAGTAAAACCCTGAACACCTTATAGACTCTTCCCTAACACACACACACACACACACACCCACACCCACACCTGGACCCGTGGCCCTTGTGGGGACAGCTGTGTCAGCGTGCAGTGCGAAGACTTGAGCTTATTAACTTCTGTTAGGTTGTGTTAAACCTCCGAGGAAGAGGTGCTTGACAATAGTTCTTTCAGTTTTACTTTTACTTCTCTTTCCTTCCCCCCCTTTCCTTTCCCCCCTTCTTCCCCCCCTTTCCTTTTCTTCCTTTCCTTCCCCCCCTTTCCTTCCCCCCCAACCAGGGATTGAACTCAGGTCCTTGGGCTTGCCAGGGAAGTGCCTATTCTGCTGAGCCATTTCCCAGGCCCCTACTTCCATTTCCTTCCTGAGACTTCCTTGTGCACTTTGGATAGAATCCAAAGGTTTAGTTGGCCGGGATGGCGCTGGCCTGTAATCCCAGCGCTGCTCGGGAGGCCTAAACTGGAGGATTGCCTCATGTTCAATCCAGCCTGGGCTATACAGGTAGTTCAGGGGCAGCCTGAAGTTTATAGCAAGAAAGGCCATCCAGATAGCTCGGCGGACTCAAGTGCTGGCATAGGCAGGCACAGGGACTGCGATTCAATCCTAGGAATGCCCTGTGCCCCATTTGAGACTGGGTCTGGTGGCGCGGGCCTGTAATCCCAGCACTTGGGAGGCTGAAAACAGGAGGATCACTGTGAGTCCAATCTGTGGAGTGAGACCCTGTACACCCTGTACTAAATACATAAAAAAAAAAAATTAAAAAATACAGCAAGACCCTGTCTCCTCAAAGCCTTAACTGCAAACAGATCTTGCCAGCCACATGATCAGGAATGGGTGGATTTCATTTGCTGTGCTGGGGATTGAAAGGGTCTCACTATGCAGTTTAGGCTGACCTTGAGCTTACTTTGTAGTCCAGGTGGGGCTCCAACTCTGCAATAATCCTCCTGTCTCAACCTCTTTGGTGCTGGGATTATAGGCATGCGCCACTACCCCTGCCTGCCTCTATTACTATTTTATTTTATTTATTCAGTGCAGGGTCTCTAGGGTCTCACTACATAGATTGGACTCTAGTGATTCCCCTGTTTTCAGCCTCCTAAGCGCTAGGATTACAGGCATGCTACCACGGACAGTCTTAGTTGCTGTCTCAGTGTGCCCCGGGGGCAGGGCAGGCATGGTTTGTGGTGCCAGGGATCAAACCCTGGTCCCTGTGCTCTCCTTAAACAGGTGCTTTAGTCCACTGAGCTATCTGGCTAGCTCTTCCATGCCTTTTTTTTTTTTGTTTTGGTGGAACTGAGGATTGAACTCAGGCCCTTGCGCATGCCAGTTCCATTCATTTTTTAAGAAACCTTGGGGCTGGAGACATAGCTCAGTAGAATAAACACTTGTCTGGCAAGCCTGAGTTCAATCCCTGGTTCCGCAAACAAAACAAAACAAAACAAAACAAAACAACAAACACCCAAAACCCAAAAAAAAAGCTTTTTTTTTTTTTTTTTGGTGGAACCGGGGATCGAACTCAGGTCCTTGAGCTTGCCAGGGAAGCGCTTATTCCACTGAGCCATCTCCCCGGCCCAAAAAAGCTTTTTTTCTGAGACATTACTAAATTGCCAGGCCTGACTCGAATTTGTGATTTTCCTGTCTTCAGCCAACCAGATTACTGTACTACCATGCCTGTAAAGAACTTTTATTCTAAGAGACAATGCTAGGGATTTTTATTATTATTTTTTGGTCTTTTTGAGAAGAGTCTCCATATGCAGCTCAGGCTGGCTTTGAGCTCACTTTGTAGTCCAGGCTGGTCTCCAACTCTGAAGTAATCCTTTCGCCTCAGCCTCCCTACTGCTGGGATTACAGGCCTGTGTTGGGATTATAGGTGGGTCCCACCACACCCTGCGCTGTTAGGGATTTTAGGGAAGGCTGAGACATGCTCCAGCCAGAATTTCAGACAGATCTCTGCTGTTGCTGAGGGCTGCAGTGGTGTGCATTTCTCCTGGAAGGGTAGCTAGCACTTTAACACACGGACCTTGAAGTTGGAGCCCAAGGTAGGAGGTACATTCAGGAGGTGAGAGTTGTGGGTGGAAAATACTATAAATATAAATGTAAGGGGCTTCCCTCTCGCTTTACTTATTTATATATATTTGGTGCAGGGTGTCACTACTCAGCTCGGACTTGTAGTGATCCTCCTGTTTTCAGCCTCCCCAGCATTGGGATTGCAGGTGTGGGCCACCGTGCCTGGTCTCAGTGGCTGGCTCAGCTGCCCGGGCGTTGGGGCCGGGCGTGGCTTGTGGTGCTGGGGATCGAACCCCAGTTCCTGTGCTTGCTAAGCAGGTGCTTAAGGGCCGGGGAGATGGCTCAGTGGAATAAACACTTCCCTGGCAAGTGCAGGGGCCTGAGTTCAATCCCCGGTTCCACAAAAAAACAAAACAAAACAAAAAAAACCCCACAGCTTAAGCAGGTGCTTAATCTGCTGAGCTATCTTGCCAGTCCTATCTATCCCTCGTGCTTTAGTATTTGGAAGTGGACTGCAGAAGAACGAGTTTAGGGGACTGAGGGGGGGGGCTCCAGATCGGGAAGGTGGTGGGGCGCGAAAATTACCCAGCTCCGAGTGGGAGAGGGTCTGAGTGTCGCGGACGCAGACGGAAGACTGGCTGCCCTCCGACAACAAGGGCGATTTTGCGCGCAGCTCAGATCCAGGGCCTGTCTGGACCTGCTCGCTCCTCAGCCCAGAGACAGCTCCTGTGCCTGATCTGCTTCGCTGTCGTCCTGGGCTGGGCGTCTCTGCTCCCCCGGGGAACCCCCGAGAAGGGCGGGTGTCTTCCCTTCTGCGCAGTCACCTCAGCCCTGGGTACGAGTGGGCATTACCCATCTCCCTGTAGAAGACAAGCTCCAAAGGGGAGGGCTCATTTGTTTTGCTTAGTGCTCCACCTCCCCTGCCTACAACAATGCCAGGCTTTTATTTTTGTATTTTATTTGTTTATTTATTTATTTGGGGGGGGGCTGGATCCGAATGCCTTCAGGGCAGGTTTGGCTGGCTTGAGTTGTGGGGATCGAACCACAGCAACCTGAGCCTGACTGCTTTGTTGAAGCAGCCACTTAAAGAACTGAGCTAAGGGGCAGGTCCCTTGTATTTCATTTTATTTTAATTTATTATTATTATTTTTTAATGCCAAGCTTTAAAACCTTGGCTTTTTCTTTTTTTTTTTTTGGTAGAACCAGGGATTGAACTCAGACCCTTGCACTTGCCAGGCAAGCATGTATTCTACTGAGCTGGCTCCCTGGCCCGAAAACCTTGGCTTTACAAGCTTTAGAGTGTCCTCAGTTTTTTTCTGTTCAGTTTTTGAGACAGGGTCTCACCATGTAGTGCAGGATGGCCTTGAACTCAGCGATCCTCCTGCCTCAGCCTACCCAAGTGCTGGAATTACAGGCCTGCACTACCACACCCACCCCTAACTCCTTTTTTATAGACAAGGAACTGAAACCTAAGAGATGAGAGTGTAGGGGACAGAAGGGACAGAAGCTGATTTCTTGGACAGGAGCAAGTGGATGAGGGAAAGAAGCAGGCTGTGGTTGGCGAGGGCCAGGGGCTGCAGGGTGGGGTGTCCCCAAGGGAAAGGAGCCCGGAGTGGGGCCCATCAGGGATGAAAGTGTCTTCTTTACCCCCAAGGCAAAGGGAAGCCATAAAGTGGCTTCTGGGGGGACAACTATTGGAGTGGAGAAGGGCCTCACCCTCACCTGCCAGGCAGAAGCCAGAGCAAAGCCTGCACACTGGACCTGCGGCCTGTCTTAGGCAGGGCTGGTGCCAGGGGCCGCCCGCTATTCAGGCAGAGGCTGGAGGGTGTGCAGCGCTTGGTCCCCAGACCCCCAGGCTTTGGTCTGAACGAGTGGGCCTCAGGAAATGGCTCCCTGTACTGGGCCATGGCGTGCAGAGGTTTCGGTCAGTCAGGTCACTTCCTCTTCCCCAGCTCCCATGATTCATCCCAGAGCATCCCCGGGGACCCAGGGAGGGTGGCGAGCTTATGGGGGTGCTGGCCAAGGTGTGTCAATCTCTGGTGCCGGGGCTCGAACCCGGGCCCTCAGCGCAGCGCCCGCTGGCTGCAACCCTCCCTTTCCTTTCAGGAAGTTTATGTGAACACTCTGAGGCGAGTCGGCCTTGTTAAACCATCCAGGGCCTTAGAGGAAGACAAAAGTTGTGGGCGCAGGAGGAGGCAAACTTGCCAAAAGGGCAAACAGTTAAAAATCAAACAAGTGGTTTTTTTTGTTGTTGTTGTTTGTTTTCTTTCTTTTTTTCTTTTTGACTTTATCAAGGTTGATTTATTCAATCAAGTTGGGATTATAGCTAAACCTATTTAAATTGAGCTTTATGATTGGCCTCTCCCTTTCTGGTTTGCTTGTAAAAACCAGCAATCACATCTCTTCCAGTACTGTTCCCAGCCAGGTGGACTGGCAGGCTCTAGGGCTTCCGGGTCCCAGGCGCGGCCTTCTCTGCCGAAAGGTAAATTCTGCTATCTATTTTTATCATATATCATCCTAATATCTTACAGGAGCTTAACTCGGTGATGGCTGGTGTGGCGGTGGCGAGGCTGGGCGGCAGGAGAAGCGAGATCCTTCCCCCTTCTTCTCCTAGGCTGCATCGCCTCGGTACAGCGCCGCCCGTTTCCTTCCCGGGCGTCTTGTGTAGTTGTGCACAGAGCGGCAGGTTTGCCTAACTTTTTCGTTCTCCTTTCCTGCTGACGCCTCTCTGCAGTTTTTCAGGTTTTCCTGCTCTGAACACTGGATTCTTTTACCTCTAGTATCTCTCTTGGCTCTGTTTCAGCTCAGGAGATTTCCTTTCCAATTTTTTTTTTCTTCCCCTTCTGTAATAGTTCCACAGTGAAATAAGTAAATACTTGGGAAGGGAGATCATACTACGTTCTGGTCTTCTAATTAAGGCTGTCACCAAAGATGATTCCAATCCGTGTTTAAATACAGCCAATCAAAGGTTTTTTTTTTTTTGCTATTCAATCTGAGAATGCTAGGATGGGCAGACTCTGGGTAAGGAAATCGGAAGTTAGCTGAAGAGGTCTGATAGTGCTAAGATTGTATCAGAGATATGGTGTGATTGTGTGTGTGTGTGTGTGTGTGTTCACTGGCAAGTATTAACAGGGAGGACTTGTTTCGGTGATTGTGAAAAAATGAGGGGTCGCTGGTGTTTTCCCGCAGCAGGAAGAGGTGCGGCGGGCGTCCCCGGGAGCCGGGGTTCGGCCGGGGCCCCTCTGCGGGGACCCCCTCTGCGTTGCGGGGCGTCTCGATCGAGCACCCGATTCCCGGGGACGGATCTGCGGGCCGGGAGCGCTCGAGGAGCCGGGGCGGCGAGGCCAGCGCTGGGTCTTCAGCGCTCTCTCGCCACAATGACGCGAGTTCTCGGCTCCTCGCGCTGTCCTGCTACTTTCGGAGTTGGCATCTAATCGGAAGCCCGGCTTTCCGAGCAGTCTGCGGCGGGAGGCTGCGGAGAACGCGTCCCGCAGCAGCCCCGCGGCGAATGCAGACCCCTGCTCGTCCTTTTGGGAGCGCGGTGTGTATTTGCAAGCGAGCAGCCGCTGGGCAGCATTGTGCAGCGAGTTCCCAGTTCCTTTGGCACGTCTCCAGGAGTTGAGGTTCTTTGTAATTCCTCGCTCAAACGCCAGGATCACACACAAAACTCTTTGCACAATTCTTTCAGTTTAAAAACGTAGAACATTAAAAAACCCCAAAACACCCCCAGAACAACAGAACAAAACAAAACAAACCAACCTACCCACGACATAATAGGTTTTTCTGGAGGGGGGTGGGGGAGGAGAAACGGTAACAAACCATATGATGCCATAATGCTTAACAAAGTGGGGCTGGTAAAAGCACAACCCTTAACCCCCCTCCCCCGCCCCCCAATAATTCAGCAGGAACAAAGTGTGAGCCAGGAGCTTCGTTGTTCTTAGTGAGATGATTCTTCATTAAAATATTTGCCTGTTTCCTGATCCCTGACTGAAAAGTTTGGACTTTTTGGCTCCATTTTGACACTACATTTTTTTTTTTTTCTTTCTTTTTTTTTTTTTTTTAACTATCAGCGCTATTGTGTTTTAGAGCATTGGAGATTTCCAGAGTTCAAAGGTTATCCATTGCCACGTAGAGTGAGGCCACGCTTACGGTAAGGGTCGACCTGGCCACTTGTTCCCAGTTTCTTTGTTTTGTAGCAAGGCTTGAGAGTCACTTGTTTTGATAAAGTTTAAGTGAAGTTTCTTGTTTAGGAAGAGTGTGTTTTTGAACTGTTTCAGAGTGTGAATGTAAATCTCTGACATATTTTAAAGGAAGATACCTTGTGTTAGAAAAGGAATCCCAGTAAAATGATGAATATCCATGTACTTGAGTGAAAAAAAAAATAGTGCTGGCCTAAGGATCTGTCGGGCACTAATTAATTGTAATTGATTCACTTCCTTTAAAAAAAAAAAAAGACTAACCAGACCATATGCGGAGTTAGTAGTTATATATAAAATGACAGCCTAACAGGCAAATTCTTCCCCTTTGCTAACCAGTCTTCTCAAATTCCTTTTCCTGTTAAATAAGGATCGCCTTGCACATCAGTTCCGGGTCCTTTTTTTTTTTTTTTTTTTTAAATAGGGCTATTTTCTGCTTTTCTTTTGATTTAGGAACATACATCTTAAATACTTTCCTCGACCTGTTTCTAAGCTTTTCCATTTTGGAGACACTGAGGCTACTTTAGGGAACAACACATCTTGGATATTTGCGGCTACTTCCACGGATCCATTTCACATTTGCATTCATTTGCATTTGGGAGCAGAAAAATTGGTGGATGTGATTGCCGCTTTCATCCGTGGTTCCTCGGGGTTTACTTAAAATAAGGGAAGGTCAAGGTCTTTGAGAGCGTAACCTTTTCTTGCTTTTCTTTTTCCAACCTTTCTGCTCAAGGAAGCAAACATTTGGGAAACACTATATCAGCTGGGCGTAGAAAAGGGGGAATGGCTTGTTTTTTTGTTTTGTTTTCTATCTATTTTAAGCTTAGTTTGACCCACATGGATTTTTATCAAAACTCAAGTAGATTCCTGGAACCTGGGATCCAAATTTAGAAAACTGGAAGTGTAACATCGAAGCAAGCCCAGCGCCTTCGACCAAAAACAAAAAAAGGTTTATGAAGCTAGTGAATTTTAATCATCTTATCTCATTGATCTTCTAAACACTTCGAGCCTAGCTGAGCAAGGGTTTTTGTACATAGCTACCTTTTGACTTAATCTCAGCTACCTTTTGACTTAATCTCAAACAGGTCTAAACGTTTTTTTTGTTGTTGTCTGCAGTGCTAGCTGACCCGGGAGTTCGGCTGCCGGCCCCTCCCCTCGCGGGCGCACCTTGCGAGGGAGGGGGAGGCGGCGAGGGATGGCGCGGGCGCGTCTGCGCCTGCGCGCTGCCCTGCGGCCCACTCCCCGACTACCTGTCACTGGAACCGCCGGGGCTCGAGCCGGCCACGTTTGGCCGGTTGGCGGGAGGCGAGGGGGGCGGTGGTAAGGCGCGCGCGTGCGCGGGACTCGCAGGGTGAGAGGCGGGGGTGTGCGCGCCCGTAGGCGCACGCCCGCCGGGGCGGGGCCCGTGGAGGTGGGCGG